AACCCTAACCCTAACCCTAACCCTAACCCTAACCCTAACCCTAACCCTAACCCTAACCCTAACCCTAACCCTAACCCTAACCCTAACCCTAACCCTAACCCTAACCCTAACCCTAAAACCCCACTCTTGTGCAGCAGCTACCTTCCGGCGCTGACTGCAGAGACCACAGCGATATGTCACCCTTGAAGTATCTGCACCGTCGTTTGTTCAGGGTGGCCGAAATCTCTCAGAGGCCCAACTCGGAATCTCCGGCGGACCAGCGCGTTTGGCAAGTTCTCGTACCTACTGAAAGTCTTCGCACGGGTTATTTGTGTCATATGCTTGCTCTGATGGGATCAGAACAACCCCTGATTCCCGCCCATGCTTCGATAGACGCCGACCACACTTTGCACAAAGGGTCTATTATTATCTCCAAGCAAAGAGCATCGCGCCCGTCGACTTCTTCCGCCTTTTGCTGGACACCGCCGGGTTATACCTCAAGATGCTCCATGAATACTTGTGGGGGTTAGGATGCATTACGCGTCGGTGGATGTAGAGAATTCCGAGGAGAGTATCCGAGAATGTCAGACACGATACCCGTTGTGGAGAAGCTTTGTAAGGATATTCTGTTTTGTTTGTCATCAGAAGGGGTTTATCGGTGAATGTGCTTACACTGATAGGGGGCGTTATGTGGCGGAATATCTGGTGCCGCCCGACCACAAGACCACATTGTCGGTGTGCCAGACAGCGCACATAAAAGGGGAAGCAGCACATCGACACTTGCTTCAAACATCCATACCAACACACCGTAACATCAAACATCAACGACAACAATGTGCATGAAAGCTACTTGCCCCGATTGCGGAAAGGTCACTTGGAGGGGTTGTGGGAAGCACGTCGACCAGGTACGCCTCCAGCTGAGGGACCGGCTTGAGTTCCATGTTAACTTGTCACAGGTCATGGCGGATGTCAAGGAGGAGGACAAGTGCAAGTGCAAGGAGACGAAGAAAGAGACCAAATAATCGAGAGAGAAGCAGCGGAATATACACGGTACGTCCTCTGCACTTCAACCAGTACGAGGCTCAACCGTTCCCAGCAGCACGGATCGACAGGTTGATGGGTGGTTGATGGGTTAACGGGACAAGTGTAACGAACAAGCAGATGAATGGAATGTATTTGTTGTAAACCCAGAGCGTATATATAGACTTCAGTCAGACTTGAGCAGCCATTCATAAGCGTTCGTCCACGCCTTTTTACCATCCGCCTCGATCACGTCACCGTGGCACGGGATGATCCTATCAAAGCACATCCCGTTTCATTATGCTGGCATATATGAGCCGTGTATATAGTGCAAGCGGGGGGAAACGCACGTCTGATCCTTCCCAATAAGCAGTGAGAAGCGCTTGTGCAGTCCTGATTCTGGTCCAAACCCAGACCACCTCATCGCCCATGAACGGGCAGATTTGGTCTTGGAGAATTGGTCAAATATGTCATCTCTGCGCACCAGCAGACGATCTGAGTTCGTACCTGCTCTTTCGCAGGGAGGTTGAAGAGGAGATCTGCTTCTATCAGTGTCTTGGACGGCGTATGAAGAAAAGCCACGTCTTGGTTCACGTGTGACGGGATGTAGCTGGACATCGACCTCATAAAAGACACCCATCTCGTCCGGTTGAGCAGACTTACTGTGCTTGTATCTCAGGAAGGTCAATAACTGGAAGACGGAGGAGCCAGGCACGCACCTCTGGTTCAAAACCATACTTTGTATCCGGAGCATCTCTCCCATATGCTATATGCGGATCAGCAGGTTCTCAAGTGCTTCCCGATGCACGCACCTCCGTCCCAGTTTATATCCTTGCGTTTCTCCGGCAGTGGCTCGACACCAATGCACTTCGCATCTGGGAATTCGCGCTTGAAGTCGCCTGCAAGATGTTCAGTACCAAGTGGGAGAGCTGAAGGAGAGGCTCGCACTGATGAACATCGTATGCACTGCATCGGCAGCCATGATATACCTTGCTCTCTATCAGTCACCCTCCAACAGAGCGCCTAAATACCCACTTGACGGGCCCGAGTTGATGCAGCTTCGCCTTGGTGGGATCGTCCAGCTTTGTAGATGCGAGGACGCATACATCCCCAGTAGAGAGTTTGATAGCGGTAGATCTACCACCTACGGGGATGGGGCCGAAGCGGTAGAATGGTCTGGTTGGGTTGTTAGAGTCCGTAGAGGTAGTGGGTTGGGGGTCGGACCTGCTGAATATGCATATGGTAGGAGCGACCTGGAGTGGGATTAACAAGGAAAGTACGAGAGATGCATGAGGAGACGGACCTGACGAATGACTGTGTCTGTCATGGCTGTTCAGGGAGTAGGATTGATTGATGGTAGAGTGAAAGCAGTGAGATGCGGGGAAGGGGGTCGATGGAAACGTTGGCCCCTCGGGGAGTGATCGGACGATGACGACAATGACGCGTGTGCATCGCGACCCGCACTGCGACGAATCCCTCGGATAAAGAACGTAGACGCGGAGAAACTAAGACCAATCAGAAGAACCACAACAGATCATTTCAGAATCCAGCAACTCCCCCGATCGAAAGCCCGTCAACCAGTAAATTAGGAAATCCTAATCATAGTACAGTGCAGGATGCATATCCATTCACCGCCCTACTTGAGCAAGTTCGCATATGCCCTCGTCCACGCCTCCTTCCCCTTGCCCTCGATCACATCCCCGTGACAGGGGATAATCCGCTCAAAGTCCCAAGATGCCACCGTCTTCGCATCACGACCCATAGCACTGTGCATAGTATGAGTGTTAACGCGTTTGATGGTGGCAAGTACGTACGCTTTATCAGATGTAACCGAGTTGAGGAACCGCTTATAGAAACCCGAGTACGGGTTGAGGCCGCTGGTGAAGATACTGTGACCCGACTGCTTGCTCTTCGAATACTACAGCACGGATCAGCATACACTCCCTGTTTGATGCAGTATGACGATGCGCACCTGCTCCTTTCCAGGGAGGTTGAACAGGAGATCAGCGACTATCAGAGTCTTGGAGGGAATGTGCAGGAAAGCGACGTCTTTGTTCTGGAAGCCAGAGAAATAGCTGCCTGACGGTCAGATGATGCGTCCAGGAGCGACGGCTTCAATATCATACCATGCTCTGAGCTGATAATAAATGAGCTCATGCAGGTGATACAACGCTATGAATACTCACCTCGTCCTCATACCCGTACGTGGTTCCCTCAGCAAAGCCGTATGCTGACAACTTCCGTGAGCCAAGAGCGGAAGGACCTGGTATCAAAGAATGCACCTCCAGCCCAGTTGATATCCTTCTTCTTATGAATCAACGGCTCCACACCGATGCACTTGGCATTTGGATATGCTTTATGATACTCGCCTGATCGTGTGTCAGTGGTGGTTTCCTGTTCAGAGGATAGGATGAACGTACTGATGTAGAGAGTGTGGAGTGCATCCGGCGTGACGAGGTATCTAAATAACGTGAGTATGTTATTGACGGAACAGAAAGGAACATGCGCACTTGACGATCCCCATGCTATCGAGCGTCGATTTCGTGTCATCGCTCAGTGGAGTAGAGACAAATACCCATACTTCGCCGCTGTTGAGCTTGATGGCGGTTGTACGACCTCCAAAGGGGACGATCCCAAGGCGCGCGAATGGCCTGCGTGGAGAATCAGAGCTTTGCAGTGATCGCTGTGACGAACGTGCGTACTTGGAGAAGATGGTCAAACCTGGGACGACCTGGAACGAGATCATGAGCGAAGGTCAACACGGATGGGGTCAAGTACCTACCTCTCTGATGACGATCTCGTCGGACATTTCGCAGGATGCAGGGGTAGAAATGGACGTGTATGAAGACTATCGCCCATCCGTGTGGTATTTAAGGCATTCAGCCTGTCTTGGCTTATCATGGGGTCGATATGGGCGTTGTCGGAGAAGGCCAAGCCGAAATCTGAACCCTGACACGTTGCTTCTTAACGTTATAAACAGGCACTTTTCACATGCACGGCTTACTATGTGAGTGACGTCCATGTGGCTGGATGTTACAAAGCTTAGTCACAGTCTGGAGTGAGCGGCTTTTGACTCGGCGTGTTCCCATCACATGGGGTCAGAAGAGTTGTCCTCATTCTTTCGTTTATAGACCACGTATGCCTCGAGCAAAGGACACAACAAGCTTGTTATTCTCATGGACGGACTACAGGGCCGAGTTTTGACTACATCCATGCGCACATTTCCTTTCAGCACAATCAACAGTCCACGTAGCACGCTCAGTTGAGCTGGACGGAGAAGGTGGTGGTGTCGAGGGAGGCAGTGCCTGTACGTGTGGTCAGCAACACAATAGCTTAGGTGCATATACCAAGCTCACCAGTAAACGCCTCAGTACCAGTCTGGATAGCATTCAGGTACAGGCTGGTGGAGACGCCCTCGTTGTCCACAAGGTAAGTGAAGAAGGGCAGGAGGTTGGTGTTGAAGCTAGTGATCGAGGTGCCGGAAGTCGCTGGGATGAAGGAGTACACCTCCCAGTTCGAATTGGGGCCGGACCAGAGGTTCCACGTGTAGCCGTCAATCTCGATGTTGCTGGTCAGGAGGGAGCCGACGGGTTGGATGCCGCCGAGACCGCTTAGCCAGACCATGCTGTGATGCAGGTCAGAGGGTTGTTCAAAGTGATGATCTCGCGCTGACTTACATCTCGTACTCGGAGGTGGAGGAAGTAGCGGTGCCAGTGGAGGAGGTGCCCAGCCACATGTCGTATCTAGGACAGCGCTTTAATACTGACACAAGCATACATATAGGCGTGCTCATGCTCACGAGACATCAGCGCGGAGACCGCTGGACTCGCTGGTGTACGACCAGTCCCAGGTAGTGGGAAGGCTGGTAACAGAGCTGAGCGTAACACCATTGACGTTGTTGTTCAGGACGTTGGCATCTAAAGATTGGTTTAGTTATTGATCAACGGTAAGGGGACCGTCCTACAGGTCTTCACGTCATTCGGGTTGTTAGCCCAGGTGTAGGTCGTGGTCCAGGCGATATCGGTACCGCTGGTGGACACAAGGGTCGAGTTCTGCGAACCGACACCATTGGCTTGGAATCTTTAGCAATGCGTTTCAAGCAAGCACATAGAGCTTACCGGAGCCCCACTGGTTCTGGCAGAGGGTGTAGTCACCGCTGGTCGCGCAGGTGTACTGGCCAGTCAGGACAGTGGAACGCTCCTGGAGGGGAGCAGCGGAGACGCCGAGGGCAGCAGCGGCAGCGAAGAGGGCAGTTGCGATCATTGTGAGCTTGGCTTGGACGACTGGATAGACGGGCTGAGCCTGAGGGATTGCTGACCCAGAGCAAGCACTTTATATACCTCGCATTCAGAACTGCGAACGAGTTGAATGAGATCATCGTTGCTGGCCGCGGGGAGTCGTAGGCAGCTGGTCCAGACACGCTGCTAACAGGAGACGCCAGAGGATGTTCCGAACCTAGGAACGGAACAATGTCGTCTATCACTTGACCATCCACAAGCAGAGTACGAGGCGGTCGAACAATACACCCGTTCACGTGCGGCCACTGGAAACTGCACGTCGCAAAAACGAGGCAAGACCGTTCGGCTATTCTTGGATCTGAAGTACAGTATAGTGAAGCCACGGCAGGTGGACGTCATGTTCCTGGCATACGGCAAGCGCAGAAGACTGCTCGCAAGGATTAACCACGGCAAAAAGGTAGCATCCAGCAAGAAGACGCGTCTCCACGGGCAGAGGGGAAGCTCACTAAATCAAGTAGGGAAGTAAAGTGAGAGCATGAGAAGTTGCCCTCATAATGCATGTAGGGTTTTCATTTGCCCATATGCTTCCGTCCTCGCACCACCTGCGGTCGAACAGCATTTCCGTTGTTGCTAGATTGCGTTGTTCTCTCGGAAAGGACTCAACATGGTTGTTGTTGCTGTGATCGGAGCAGGTTGGTTCCCTTTCAGGATGGCAGCGACGTTCGCGGCTGAACTTTGCAGGTGTCATTGGCCTGACAACTGCGTTGAAGATTCAGGAATTAGGTCACGAGGTCGTTTTGATCGCAGAGCTGTTTCCCGGCGACGCGAAGAGCACACGCTATACCAGCAATTGGGCTGTGGGCAATGATCAACATAATGCCATATTCGATCCTCGCTTAGATTGATTGCACAGGGTGCTCATCATGTTAGTCCTGCCGGTTCTAACAAGATCCAACTCAGTAAGCGTTGAATTATCGCAGTATCTTCGGTATTCACTCTTACACATGCGTAGAGATGGAACGAGACACGTTTGACGTCATGTGGAAGATGTCGGCACCAGAGGCACCTACCGAAAGTCTTTTCCTTAGGCTGCCGCAGACCGAGTACTACGTGGAGGGTCGGGAAGGCCCGAATCCTCTTGCGGACTTTATGCCTAATGTACCACTGTCAGTTGGACTGTCGATTCAAGTGCTAATGGTCTTTTTTGGGCTCGTTTCATAGTATCGAGAACTGTCCCAGTCGGAACTTCGTCCTGGAAGCAAGACTGGTGTCACGTTCGAGACGCTCACCATTGACACCCCGCGGTATCTTGGGTATCTGTACGCTCGTGTCCTCGCGCAGGGCGGTCGATCTGTTCGGGCTCAGCTGCAACATATTCAACAAGTGCTGGATGGTGCTTTCCGTCGAGTCCCGGATGCGGTTGTTGTTTGCGCTGGTCTCGGAGCTCGGACTTTGGGAGGCGTCGAAGACAAGAACGTCTACCCGATCAGGGGACAGACGGTCCTCATCCGAGCACCCTGGGTTCGTTTCGGTCGGACTACCAGCAGCCTGTCCGGTTTGTGGACATATATCATCCCGCGGCGATCAGGGGACGTGCGTGAACCTAATCTCCGAATCACAGAATCTGGCTGCTGACCCTTATTAGGTGATCTTGGGCGGTACAAAGATTGACAATGATTGGCACGATTACCCAATGAAGGGTTCCCCAACTGCTGCTAATGATGTTCCAGGTACCCCAATCCTCGGCCGGAAACGACGCGGGATATTATCGAGCGTACACTTGCCATTGCGCCCGAGATAGCCCCGCCGGCCGCTCGCGAAGGAGGTCGTTCACCCACTGTGGAAGATGTGGAGTCCATTGTGATCGAATCTGGGTGTGGTTTCCGGCCAGGGAGAAAAGGCGGGGTGAGGCTGGAAGAAGATCAGATGACGAACAGCAAAGGAGAGACAATTCCCGTCATCTACCATTACGGGTACGCGTCTGATCTCGTCCCTTCCAAGTCCTTATTCATAACACCATCCAGTCATGGCGGGTTTGGATATCAGGCTTCCTGGGGCTCTGCTTCCATGGCGATGGAATTGCTCACCTCGGCCTTGAAGGGCGTATCCAAGGCCGGCACAACGACCCACGAACAGTAAGAATAAACCGAGAAATCGATGTCGCATTGTATGTGATAATAGTTACAAGTTGCACAAATTGCTACAGATAGAAAGGATGAATGAATAACATTGGATTACCCATATGGTAAAGATTCGTCACGAGGCGGTGGACGAGAGCGGTTGTCGGGGCGTCTGTCAGGCGGTGGCCCACGCCGAAAGTGATCACCGTTGTAGCCCGGCCTTGACGGATGCCCACGTCCACCTGGTGGAGGCGGACCACCAAATTTGTTCCCTCTGGGTGGGCCTCGTACTGCATCACGATAACTCTCAGGACGGTAATGGTTCGGAGGTGGTTGATGATGATGGTTAAGTTGTTGAGACGGTCCCCCTGGCTTAGCCTGCGCAGCCTGCCACGCCTTGCGCCGTTTGTCTTCTTCGATCTGCGCCTTCCTCTTGTCATACTCGTGAGACGGCTCATATTGCATCAAGCTGCGGAGTGCGTTAGACACTTCAAACTATAAAGAAGATCGACGCACGTCTTGGGATCAGCAGGAAGAGGATCAGTCCAGAACCACTCGTGGTCCAGAGCCTGGGCCGCAGTGATCCGTCGAACAGGGTCAAGAAGGAGCATCTTATCGAGCAAATCGGCGGTATCCCGTCCATGTCTGAACATTTAGGGTCAGTCTCGTCCATGTGCGCAACTCGATCACTTACATCTCAAAATGCTGCTTGACCGTCCTTTCCTGCCTAGGCCAAGTCTTCACTCCTTCACAACCAGGAAGCAAGCTCCACCCGGGCATGGTATCTTCAGTCGGAGTACCGCAAAGGGACCAGATCTTCTCCAGCTGGTTTAGATCAGAAGAGCCGCAAAACATCGGCCTGCGAATCCACATCTCGCCCATGATACACCCTACACCCCACATGTCGATCGCAAACCCGTAGTGTGTCTCGCCCAAGAGAAGCTCAGGCGGGCGATACCAGCGCGTAACGACACAGTTGGTATATCTGTTCTTCCGCAAGTCGATACCGTCGTCGCCTAGCCTGCTATAACCAGGCCTTGCGAGTCCGAAATCTGCGATCTGGAGCACGCCAGAGTTGGAGATGAGCAAGTTGGCAGCTTTCATATCCCGATGAAGGATGTTGTTCTTCGGTGAGGTGAGACAAGGCATGCGACACCTGCAAGTTACGTACCCGATGCAGGTAGTCCGTCCCTTCCACCAGCTGTTGCATATAGAGCTTGATCTGGGGAGTCGTGAGTCGCGCGGACTTGTTTTCCAGTAATCCGGCAAGATCATGGTCCATATAAGGGAAGACCATGTAGATATCCCCTTTTGATTCTTTCGTGGCTGCATATGACAGGTCAGTATGAGCCTGTGCAACAACCAGGACAAGCGCACTTTTTGTCACCACCATATCTACCACCGATACCACATGCGGGTGCTTTAGCCTTTTGAGCAGCTTCGCCTCCCTCAACGCCGTAATCGGCAACCCCTCCCTCTCCTCATGCATCAAGATCCTCTTGAGGGCTACCAACTGCCCGGTCACATGACTGCGAGCTTTATGCACCTCCCCGAATGTGCCTTCTCCGAGCTTGTTCAGCAACTCGTAGGCGGCTAAGCGCGAACAGCCGACAAAGGTACGCCCATAAGCGGCGAACTCTTCCTGCGCCGTGCGATGTTTAGGCGTGCGTTTGACTGGCTTGGCTGGCTGAGGCTTGGGCGAGGGTGGGCGTGTCTGGGTAGGAGTCGGGATGGGAAGAACGTTGTTCGTTGGAGGCTCGTGCTGTGGATGAGGGGCACCAGGGGTAATCGGCCTTGTAGAAGGGGGAGAGCGAGGTGGAGCCGGTTCTACTGAAGTCCGTCGTACGGGAGCAGAGCGCCTTGGGGAATGGGAACGGGCAGGCTGGGGAGGCTCAGCTGGGCGCAGACCACGGTTGTCGACACGCGAGTCTTCCCTATAGCGAGGAGACGGCGTGCGCCCATGCATGCCATAACTCGGTGAGCTCGAACGACCGCCATACGAAGGCCGATAATAGTCGCCCCGATCGCGATCCCTATACCTCCTATCGTCGTCGTACCTGTCATAATTCCGCGCTCGGTTGTACTCGTCGTCGCCCAGGCCAGGCTCCCAGTGATCAGCTCTTCCTGGGCGCGTGCGTGGGCTTAGAGCACGGTATCGAGGACTACGAGGGCTGCGGGGGCGGTAGTCCGGCGCACGCCAGGAGTCGAACGAGCGCTCTTCGTCCGGGAGCCAGGTGTCGTATTTTGTAGGTCTGGAAGGCCGGCGTCCACGCCGATCCTCGTCCTCTCTCTCAGGAGTCCATTCCCAAGCAGAAGCCTTCCTGTATCCTTCCTCCACTTCTCCATTCTCGGAGTCCTTGACTTCCTCGCCCTCCTCACGTTCCTTGCCCTTCTCCGCACTGGGCTTGCTCATCGGCGCCGCAGTAAGATCGAGTCCTTTCTCGAGCACTGGGGCAGATGCAACCTTGTTCTTCATCTTGAAAGGGAAGAACTTGACTTGCGCTTTCGGTTCTTCAGGAGGCGGGGGGAGATCAGGCGCCGGCACTGACGGTGGCTTGGGCACGCTGGTGGCATCGTCTAGCTCTCCTTCTTCTGGCTCTGAGGTGTCTCCCGATGGGGGAGGCTTCCTGAAAGACGGTTGGGTATGATTCACAGGAGGTCCTAGTCTAGAAGAAAGAGAGGCGGAAGACGGCGCAAACTGAGGTTTTGGTGGTAACGATGCTGGAACACGGGCCTCGAAAGGGTTGACTATGTCTGATCTGAAACGTTTTGCAGCTGGTTGTGATTGTGAGTCTGGTGGTGGACGTTTTATCTTGACAGGGGACATTGTGGTCGTTAAAGAAGAAGGAAGGAAAGAGAGGGAGAAAGAGCGGCGACGGACAAAGTGTTGTTGAGTGTGAGCCGCAAAGGGTAATCAAACGGAGGCAAATGGCAAAAGTCATTCCATGACAATAGGCAGTGTATTATATTTCATCTGTTATAAAAGGATAGTTTCAGTTATAAGCATAGAAGTATGGACGGACCATCTCAGCAAAACAACCCCAAACACATCGCTTGCTACACGGACACGCTCACCCTTAACTACATACCAATACATACTAAACTCTACTCTACATAGATGAAGTAATAATACGCCATTAAATAACAAACAAGTGATTTTACACGCATATATGCGTTATGAAGTGGTCAACAGTGCAAGAGCTGTCGTAAGGGAATTACTCGCACCAACAGGGTAAAGGCGCGCGCCGCGAGTGGCGACCCTTTGCAACTCTCTTTCGTCCTCACCGTCTTCCTCCCCATCCCTCTCCCCTCCTCCCCTCATCCAATTAAATAATGGCAACCCAGTCCGGACTGACAAGACGACGTGGTGGCGGTGGAGCAGCACCAGAGACGACAGACCAACCCCCCTCTTCATCCCAGAACGGCTCCTTATCGTCCACGTCTACCCCTACACTCAGCACAGCGAACGGCTATGGCGGAACAGCACTCGAAGGAAGCAGCAAGGTCGCATACGACCCGCGCGACCTGGACACGACCAACGAGGAGAATAAGCTGCCAAAACTTACTATCCTAGAAGAAGTCCTCCTCCTGGGACTGAAGGACAAACAGGTGCGCATCTTTGCCTGCTGCGCACCACACGCACTCATCCGATGCAGGGATACCTATCATTCTGGAACGACAACATCTCCTATGCCCTTCGGGGCTGTATCATGATCGAACTCGCACTACGAAAACGGATCGCCATGGTCAAGGACTCAAATAGGCGACGATACCCTCTGCCGGATCGCTTGGTCGAAGTCGTCGATGATCGTTTGACAGGAGAGACCATCCTTGACGAAGCACTCAAGATGATCAAGTCCTCCGAGAAGATGGGTGTAGGTTCCTGGATCGACCTCTTAAGCGGTGCGTGTCCTCACCTCCATGTTGAATCCCATCTCATGCGGCCTAGGCGAGACGTGGAACGTGATGAAGATCGGATTCCAGCTAAAGCAAGTCCGCGAACGACTAATGAAAGGTCTCGTAGACAAAGGCGTTCTCCGAACCGAGAAACGCAATTTCCTCCTATTCGACATGGCCACGCACCCTGTAGCAGACGCACGAACAAAGGAGGATGTCGTCTCCCGGGTCGTCGCGCTTCTCACCATGCGAACCGCAGCCATCCCATCCCAGGCGCTGCACAAAGAAGGCATCCAAGACCGGTACACACGCGCAGTCTGCGTCGCATGCGCGAGCTATGCCGCCTCGGTGCTGGAAAACGCGCTCCAGAGACTGTCTTTCGACGCGCGCGAAGCCGCATTCGCACGGTGTGACGATATCCTCGCCGAGTTCAGCACTTGGCCGTTCGGTTCGGCCCGGACCGAATCCACCGGGCGGAAGAGGGAGGGCCAGGGCGCGGGGTCAGAGAGCCTTGCTGGCCTAGTGCGAGAAGTGAAGAAGGAGATGGCCGAGCCCGAGGATTTGCATTTTGAGGTCGTGGCCACTGTCCTGGAGGTGTTTGGTCGCATGGACAGTCTCCTTTGAGCAACCGTCTTGTACACTATCTGGTACCCATACTCGCTTTCTCTTCCCTGGTGCCGCTCTACGTGAGCGACGTGCGCGCATCCGGGGCATGCTTTCTGCGTACGTGCAATACCAAATTCGTTTATACGAGCGTCAGCGGCGGATTGGTTCTTACATGACATTCTCCTCAGGGGGTATACAGGATAATAACGGGGCTCATCACTAGACGCTTGAAGGGAACGTGTCCCATCAGTTATCCTAACTCGGCAGTGTCTACGATTGTCCAGATTAGATCTCAACCCCAACCTGCCATGTAAGGACCCGCCTCACTCCCGCTCTACAAACATGTGTACTAACACAACAGTATATAATAGACCGCTTCCTAGCCTGCGAAATATTGGTTGGCCAGCAACATCCGAGGCACCGTTAGTTCCTTGCCCTTCTTCTGTCCCGACACATGATCGATCATCGGCCCTGCCTAATTGAGGCTGTGAGCTGGACGGTCGACCTGCAGCTCTCGTTTCTGTAAGGGTTATCTGCTGAGCCGTTGTACGGCCAGAGTCGAGACGATGTCGCGAGATTCTCTTACATAGCAAGCATGTTGAAGATAACAGCAGCACGTTCCCACATCTTGAGCAAGCGATGTACCTTGTTATAGCGTGCGGCATTCGCCGCCTTCCAAATAAGGAGAAAGTAGAGTATACAAAGGGCGAAGTCGCCAGCTGGTTAACCCCTTCCATCCCCGAAGTCCGGAAGTCCTCACCCTTATGGTACATCGTGTCCAGCACTGGCCAGCCGGCGGATAACCACGCTTCTATCACGTGTTATGGCCAGAAGAGGGTGGGACTAGACCACCTGCCTGGCCAGAACACGCTTCACCCACGCCCTTTCTTCTGCACCTTGTCGACATGGGACACACTCTGGAATGGACTTCGGAAAGGGAGAGAACTGGAATACACCACATCCGCGGTGTCAGAGCGCGTGAAAGGGTTCACTGCCAGCTCTAAGAACGGCATGCGGGGTCGAAGATACTTATACAGTAGTTGGCACCAGGGGTATATATAAGATCAAGAATCGTACGAGAGCTGAAATCATAATATCTGCTCTAACTTGACCCATTCATTCGTCTCGATGTCTCTGAAGATCGCTGTAACTGGGGCAAGGGGACTGGTGGGCAAAGTACTGACCAAATACTTGAAAGAGCAAGGTCATTATGTCATTGGTTCGACAGTCCATCTCTCCTCCTAGCCGTGCTTATTCTCTCCCAGAGATCAATAGGACACCAGAGAAGGACTCTGGGGATGGCGTGTCCGAGCAGCGCACAGCTGAAGCGACCGACTACAACGCTGTCAAGGAGGCGTTCCGAGGCGCAGATGCAGTGATACACCTCGCAGCGGTGCCAGATCCAATAAAAAGAGGTGATCATGTCGTTCACAATGTGTGCGTATGTCTAGAAAGATATCGTGCTGCAAATGACAGGATCCAGAAATGCCCAGTCTGGATATAACGCTCTTCATGCTGCAGGCGGACTGGGCATCAAGCGCTTCGTCTTCGCCTCATCCATCAAGTAAGCATTACGTTTGCTCGTAAACCTTGCTGATTGGTTACAGTGCACACGGTCTGGCATACTCCCAAGGCAAGATCGAATTCACCTCTTTCCCGCTGGACGAGACGATACCTCCCTGCCCCTCCGATCCGTACGCGTTGAGCAAAGCCCTGGTAGAAACGCAATGCGCCTCCTTCGCACGCATCTACCCGGACATGCGAATCGTCTCGCTGCGATGCACCGAGTTATCTCTCTTGAAGGAATTGGAGCCGAGGGAAGAGGAAGAAGATGCCAGGTGGTTGTGGAGCTGGGTCAATCCAAGTGCAGCAGCCCGTGCGTTTTTGCTCGCTATCACTGCGGGAGACTTTGTGGGGGTGCGTCAACAGCGTTGTCGTGAACTTGGAGTGACGTGAGTACAGCACGAGATCTTCTACATCGTCGCTCCCGTCACGGATCGCAAAGAGCCGACGATGGAGCTGATCCAAAAATGGTGGCCCGGCGTCCCTATCAAAGGTGATATGAGCGGTACGAAAGGATTCTTCGACTGCAGCAAGGCGCACAAGATGCTCGGCTGGGTTCACGTGGAGCAAGAATAACTGGGGGTTAGTCAGCTGGGTTCAGTGGGTACCAACAGAAGCATACCAAAATCAAATGTCGCATCCTTACGTCCTTGTCGCATCCCTACGCGCTAGCAGTGGAGCGACGTAAGCACCTATATGGGGTTATTCGACAGTTCAGTTCCAGGTTCAAGACTCACATAAGGGTCATACAGATGTAAAACCTCGCGCAGGTCCCTCCTCCCCACTTCAGTCCTGTAAAGTATCTCGTCCACTGTCGTCTTCCCGTCAAAGTACGGGAGCAGTCTGCCACGCATAAGCGCGCAATTTCACTCACAGTAAAGGGAAACAGGCGCACCTCTCGAACAAGTCAACGACTCTTTGCTCTTTCCCGCGATTCATCTCATCCAGCCATCTGCGTTCTATCTTGCTAGCACGGCCAGGGTCGACAATCACCCCAGGTACCAATTCTTCCTCCTGTTCCTGGTCGCTCGAAGAGTCTTCTTCAGAACCGGGTTGGTGTACCGGGAGGCGGGTACGCTGGAGCAGCATCGGCGATAAGAGGCCGTTTGCAAGAAAGGGTGTTTCAGGGGAATAGCTAGAGGATGTAGGCTCTGTCATCGTCATCGACAGTTTGCGAGCTCGGTGTAAAGCGAAGGATTCTTTCAGTTCTTGAGGGGCGATGAGGCGGACACGGACATGCATCATCTGCAGGAGGTTGCGCTTCAGCAGCCATATGAGCGCTTCTAAATACAACGGTCGATCTTTGGACGCAGGAACGATAGAGGAGAAAGGGACCGGGGAGAGCGAAAGAGAGGAGAGGATGGTAGCCAAGTGGGGAAGGGTCGGGAACGCGCGCGAAAAATCATGGAAGTGGTCCGCAGGGCTACACACTTCAGCATACCTAAATGACGCAGGAATGGAGGACGCACCAAGGCTCCACGCTCGACGTGGGGTAGTACACACTCTTCAGGTTCTCGCGTACTACGTCTACAAGCTTAGCCTTGCGGGTGTAGATAAGAGCTCGAGCCAGAGGGTAGACGTCCGCCCAGAGGTCGAGATCAAGCAGGTTGCTCATGTCCGACAACCTGTACTGTCATCAGCCAAATCACCGGGAGAGAGAGAAGACGTACGACAGCGTCGGTTCTAGAGTGTCGAAAAATCGTTGCCTGAACTCCTGGTCCTCCACCTCCTCCGGAAGCTCATCGACCTCTTCCAGCATCAACAGAGCGCTCCACGGCCTCAACCGCGGCACCCAGCCATACACAGTCTTCTCCAAATCCAGATTCTCCGACTCGTCTTCTTCATCCTCGTCATCCGCAGGTGGAAGTTGGACATCGACAACAATATGGTTGATCCTCACTCTTGCACTCCCATCCCTCGAAACAGCCTCGAACACCTCTCTCATAACCCTAGCCAACTCGTCGCCCGCCTCCCCAGTAGCCTCGTCGCAGAACTGGTCATACCAACCTCCCTTCCCCCTCACTCGCTCCTGCATCTCTGCCAGCCGCGCACAGTGCTTGCTCACATACTCTGCCCGAACTTCCTCATGTACCAGCCCAGCAGTGAGCTTGAACGCGACTTGTGCGTGGTAGGGTGCGAGGAAGGAAGAGAGGTCCGCGCTATGGTAGCTCGCTGGGTCCGGGCGGTCGAGCACGAGCACAAGATGAAAGAAGGAGATGCGCTCCCTTTTCTCCGTTGGCTCGTTCCGCGGTGAGCTGGGAGGTGCGATGTTGTCCATCCTCCATACACCGTCTCGTGCGACACAGACCGGGTGTCCGACGAATGCGAGGTCGTCGACCACCAGCTCAAACTTCTGGTAACACAGCTCCCTCGCTGGCTCAAGGATCTCTGCTAGTGTCGCCGAAGAGAAAGATAAAACAGTATCGTAGTCCTTTTTGAGCTTCGTACCCAACTTGGGGGAGGGAGGTGGGCGACTGCTGCTCCGTGTTGAGAGGGGCGTCGTAGGCCTGCTTTCCCAGATAGGACGGGGAAAGAGATACTCTACCTGTTCCTCCACCCACCGTCCGCTAGCCTCCATCTCCCTCACCTGCTCCTCCTCTGCTTCCTCCTCCTCTTCGTCCGACGGTAAGTGGCTAGCTTGATACATCCCATCCAAGCCATGCCGCGCACCTTGACGGTAGGGAAGAGGGCGCATAAGACGGGCAGACGAGGACGGGTACGGCGGGTAGCGGAATATGATGGACGTGCCTAGTGTTGAGGAGGTAGTGACGAGGAGGAGAGCGATGAGCGGCGTGGCTACTGCAGGAGAGGACATGTTGAGTGCTGAGAACTGCCCTACCTCTCCCCCCCTTGTCCGTGAAGTCGAACTTGAGGACCCTAACATTGAAAATAATAACCATTTGGAAATCATTTCACCTCGAACAAGTTGAGAATGAAATCTACTCTTACATCAACATAGTATCTACATATTTGAAATTAATTCCAATGCGAGAAATTATTATTTTTTGGCTTCAAGGACGCCAGCGTGATGTAGCTGTGCAGTGGTTGTAGGTCGGAGCCGTCAATTCTCTGTTTGACCCAATGGGAGGGCTGCAAAAGTGCGGACAAGGAGGAGAGCCGTGGCACAGATACTTCCCGGGGAGACTTTAACCTACCTCTTACGAGCTAGGTAATGTATCCTTGATTCGAACCACAACGAGGTCAACAACGATTTGACAATCCCCAGACATCATTTGGTGACGACACATCGATGGCAGCTGCTGCTCGTAATCAAAGGGGACAGCAACAATTGGTGCCCGTATTTACATACGCAGGTGCGGGACTTTGTCTCCGTCATCACGCCGGTTCTGACGCCCACACAGGCGCTACAATAACAGGCCTCGTTCGCCGTCCTATTCCCAAGTCCCAGGGGAAATACTTCATTCGACTTGCTGTTGACGGTGGGAACATCGGGCAGAGCAGGGAGATCAAGACGAGAAAGGGCACGGTGTCATGGAGTAAAGAGGAAGATAAGCGCCAGCTGTGCGTCTTAGTCCTCCCCACGTTGTGGCCTTGATTGCTGATGACTCTCACAACGTCGCCGCGCCGACAGCCATACTCAAGGTCACACTGTACAAGAGCCACAGTAAAAGACCGGTGGAAGAAGTGGGCATGGCTGAGATGCCCCCAGGCCAGTGGTTGGAGACCAAGAATCGTGCGTCGGATTTCTCCATTCGCGCGGATTTGCATTCACGTATGCCCCTAGCCATACCACTAGTCTGTAGTTCGACGTCCAATGCCACGCCTGTGATTCAAATCAACTTGGTCTGCAACTCGGATGAGAAGGACGGGGCCGAGCCTGGGACGGACGACTCCAGTGTGGGGCTTGTCGTAAATGAGGTCATCGCAGCTTCAGGAACAATGCACGTTTTATCAACAAGAGGTGATTTAGAGGACATTGCGAGCAGAGTGAAAGACCGGGAAGACCCATTGGAGAGTATTGAGAATGCGTGGGGTCCATTGTTGGACAAGATGAATTGGTTTGTAGATGTGACCAACGTGGTGTGCGAGGTGCGCAATTCACGCACGATCTACCGTGCCAGCACTCATCATGGCCAGGTCCATCCATTCGCAAAAATTGCTTGCTCGGCAATAAAGGCTGCATACAAAGTTAGCATCACACTCCATGCTCAGTGTAGGATCTGCTGACACCTAATCAGGCTGTGAAAGCTCAAAGAGACCGAGATGAGAAGATCATGACACTCGTCGACACGATGGAGGAAACGTATGATTTCATCAAGGAAGCGCGTCAATCAGACAAGGACGCACGGGAACTGGACAAGATCAGACACTCTCCAGGTAACGACCACTCGCGGGAGAAAGCGTTGATTCGACTGGCCAGTCAGACAAGCGAGTGTGCTGACTTCATCAAAACGTATTGCAAAGACAAGGGCTTTTGTACGTCAGTCCGTTGGTGCTCTCGTCTTTCACTGAGCTATGAACAGTATCACGGCTCGCGAAGCAGCTGAAATCCAGCCCTGACAAGGTCATCAAGCGATATCAGGATGCTTTCATCTCATTGAGGCAAGACTTCCGAGATGGGTCAAAACTCCGGATGGAGCTTGCGACATTTCGCATGGCGTTGAAGACCGATGAGATAGTTGCTGAGGTCGAGGCTATGGGTAGGTGTTGCCTTGTGTGCACTGTGCTCGACAGCCCACTGTGCGCTAGGCGCTACGCTGAATATCGACGACATCCATTATGTCGAAGAAGCGGGTTATGATCCTGACAAGTGCTGTCTCCCTGGCACTCAAACCGCACTGCTGGAAACGATCACAGAATGGGCGAATTCGGAAAGTTCTAAGACCGCCGGGATCTTTGTCCTCCTTGGACTTGCTGGCACGGGCAAGTCTACAATTGCGCACACGATCGCAGGCCGACTCAGTGAAAGTGGTCAACTTGGGTCGATGTTCTGTTTTAACCGGAACGAGGCTGGGACACGAAAACCCGTTGCTCTATGCAGAAACATTGCGAATGATCTATGTGCTGGTCGCCCCGCGTTCAAGGCCGCGCTCTCCATGTCTGTTCGGGATGATAAGAACACGTGCGGCACGGCGAATATTGTCACCCAGTTCCAAAGATTCCTTCTCAAGCCAGCTGGGCAGCTGGATGCGAGCGGCACGATCGGGATTGTAGTGGATGCGCTTGATGAAAGCGGCACGCCATCTAAGCGCAAACAAATGCTTCAAGTTCTGGCAAGGGGAGCGAAAGAGATTCCGGTGTGCTTTCGTTTCTTCCTCGTGGCCAGGGATGAGACTGATATCAGTGATGTCTTCCAACCGACGGATAACGTTCACGTGACACGGTTATCCACCCTTGAGAGGCAGGATGACCTCGTCAAAGACATCCTTGCTTATATCCGTTACTTTTTCAACACAGACATTATCAAGGTGTCACAGCGAGCTATGGAGAGCGCACTTTCAGACGATCAGTTCAAGGCTCTAGCAAGAAGATCCGAGGGCGTATTCCAATGGGCATCTCTTGCTTGTCAATATATCACGACTAGCCAAGCAGAACTACCCCTCACACGGTACCGTCACGTAATGGCACATCAGGATAACGGTCTGGACGAGTTGTATAAGACGGCGCTTGCAGCAGTTTTCCCTCAACAAACACAGGACTCTTATATGGAGGGTACTGCACATTTGAATTTCTTCAGATCGGTTATGGGCATGATCCTCACGTTGTTCAAACCACTGCCGATGACTTCTATTCTCGCATTTCTAGACTCCGTATATCCCGAACCTCCGGTCGACTGGGAGATCATGCTTCGATCTCTCGGATCACTGCTGAGCGGTGTTAACGGTGTTAACTTGGATGAAAAGATACGGCCTCTCCACATTTCCTTCTCCGAGTTCCTCCAAGATGCCTCACGAGCTGGAGAGTTCTTTATTGGTAACTCGGGCCACCACGAAAGACTTGCTGAAGCCTGTCTCCGGCTCCTCGACGCCCAGCTACATTTCAACATAGGCGGTATCGCGTCCTCTTACCTCTCCAACTCGGATATGCGGGCAAGAGGAGGATTCAAGAACAAAGTGTCAGCAGAACTCGCATACGCCTGTGCTTACTGGGGCCATCATCTGGCGCAGTGCAATGACGAATTCCGACATCGTTTTGAGATCGCCTGCTTACTTCGCCAATTCTTCACGAGGAAGCTTCTGTTCTGGGTAGAGGCTGCGAGCGTCGCGGACATTCTCCATGAAGTACATGCGTGTTTGGATGCGGTTGGGGATCGGTTACCGGTGGGAGTTTTCCCATTCCCTGTTGATCTTTATCTGAACCATTATGTGATGTAGGCTGAAATCCGCATAATAGCGCAGGACGCAGGACGGTTTATTCGCACATTTCGTCCCTGTATCTCGATCTCGGCAGCACACACGTACATATCCGCGCTGGGTTGGACGCCGACGACATCGAAGGTTGCGGATGTGTACCGTGGGTATTTTTCACATATACATCGAGTGGCATCTCCTCTAAATACCATGTGGCCTGCGCCTAAGCACCTTCCCGAGCATGATGCAGGGGTGTTGTGTGTCGTGTTCTCAAACGATGACAAGCGCATCGAGTCCGGGTCCGACGACCGCACGGTGAGGGTGTCGAACGCCGCAGCTGAGGAAGACTGTAGCCCCGTCGCAGCTATTTCCCAGACTGTTGCAGCACTTGATGTGCGTCTCCGGGTACCTTTCGATTCCATCGCGACCTGCGGCGTTATCGACATTGGTTCAAGTCCATCCCACCCCGACTCACAGCAGACATCTCTGGCGAACCAACCATTGGGAGGTTTTCCATCACCAGAGGACACCACAGCAGCCAATCCTCTGGCTCGTAGCCTGGCGCCGTCCGTTTTATCATGTGAATGTTCGGACCCGGAGGAAGACGAAGCGGCCGATGACTTGGACAATAAATGGGTGCTGGTCGGAAGTCGCCTTTCACTCCTCCCCTTCTGAGCATCATCAAATGATACAGCCATACATCCCTCCGCCACACACCGAAAGAGGCATTTGGCTCAACCGCCGTACCGGATGGATAATGGGAAACAAGCGGGATCTTCTGTTATGGGTCCCACCAGATATCATCCCTCACTTGTATAGCAAAGATCTTGTGCAGGTTATACCTGGCCCGACCTATGAACTTGACTTGAGCCGGTTTGTTCACGGTACACGATGGACGGAGTGTTACACCCCTATCACGGAATAGCTACTCACTGTTCATGATGCGGTACACGAGCCTGTACATAGTATTTTCTGTGTTGGAAGTTATTATCCATGAAGTTGAGCGACAATCATAAAGGGCCGCCTGATTGGACCTGTTACACTCGCTCATGCGCACTGCTCTGCACTCAACATGTCCTCTCCTGCACCACCCACACCGCCCATCGCTCTTCTCCTCGTCACCACCTCCTCAACACTAGGCACGTCCATCATATTCCGCTACCCGCCGTACCCGTCCTCGTCTGCCCGTCTTATGCGCCCTCTTCCCTACCGTCAGGGTGCACGACATGGCTTGGACGGGATGTATCAAGCTAGTCACTTACCGTCGGACGAAGAAGAGGAGGAAGCAGAGGAGGAGCAGGTGAGGGAGATGGAGGCTAGCGGACGGTGGGTGGAGGAACAGTCACCGCAAATCAGACGTAACTTTCCTGAGTTTGTCAAGTTAAAGTTACCACACTGTTATTGACTAATCTAGACTGTTTTGACTCTATTCTAGCTATTTTACTCATAACAGTCTATAAATGTGTGGTAAGTTTCGCCCGTTCTAACTCTATAGAAAAGGCCTGTGATTTGCAGTGAGTATATCTTTCCCCGCCCTATATGGGAAAGCAGGCCTACGACGCCCATCTCGACCCGGAGCGGCAGTCGCTCCCCTCCCTCTCCCAAGCTGTGTACGAAGCTCAAACGGACTACGATACTGTTTTATCATTCTCTCCGGCGACACTGACAGAGATCCTCAAGCCAGCGAGAGAGCTGTGTTGCCAGAAGTTTGAGCTGGTGGTCGACGACCTTGCGTTCGTCGTACATCTGGTCTGTGTCGCACGAGACGGCGTATGGAGGATGGACAACATCGCTCCTCCCAGCTCACCGCGAAAACGTTCAATCCTCGGCAGACAATCCAGATGGATTAACGTGAAACTTTGAGAGAAGAACAACTGGTGACGGTTGTTGGAGAACCCGAGTGCGTGCAGTCAAAAATAACGACATGCAAGGGGACTTGCAGGCAATGCATGTGAGGGAAGCCAGCGACGATACATCACAGCTTCACTACAGCCAACGAAGTCACCAAGTCATCACGGGGAAAGATAGGACCTTTCTCCCTCAACATAACCCATCCGTCGACAAGTATGTGCTCGAGCTTCTGATTGGCAATGCCGAGCTCTAGCTCATGCACATCTGTTCGCCGTATCCAACCGCTCTGCTCCATTTCGTCGTGACCTGACTGATTCTCTGTGCGTTCCCTTTTCATGTGATTGACAGTGCCCCAGACTGAGACGCTCAGCAGACAATGTACACCAGGGTCCAACGTCAAAGTCACGGTATGCAATACCCATCCTTCTAGAAGGGGGTCGACAATCTCAGTGTGGCCTAGGTGTGGAGGAGCTGAGCAGCGGCAGGGGATGGTACGTTCCATATCTTCCCTTCAGTGACGTTTACTGATGTTTGTTCTCTAGCTATTCCACACACGCACACCAAGACAGGCCAAGTAATATATCCAATCAACGTCAATGTGCTCCTTTTCCCGAACTCACACGATTCTCCTGGATTTGGACATCCCTCCTCTGACAAGACGCTGCGTACATCCCACAAGCTGTCGCCCAGTTGCAAAGCCTACAACGTCTGTTCAACAACGAGCTAGGGAAAGCGGGTGGCGCTCGCTGATATAAATCTGGAGTGGTTTGTCAACGTATCGATAGGGAAACACAGGTGCGTGCTGCTACGGCGAAGAAAACTTGCGACTAACGTGAATATATGGCAGGTACATCCACTTACCAATCATGGGGCATGATGTCAGCTGCATACAAGGTGCATCAATCCCTCCGCTCAGCATATCGTGCGCCTAACGCGCTGACAATTGATCGACGTCCCGCTAGAGCAGGAGAACCACCTGCTCGACCTCGCCTCGATCTTACATGGCGTGTTCGTTTTCCAACTTGAGGCGCGCCAGTTGGACAAGGTAGCAACGACTAGGGTTGAATAAGTTTAGGGAACAAACACTTGTGAAGTTTGCTGGCCAAGCAGTCGAATGTTCGCATTCTATTGTCACTTATGCACGGGACAAGAGCATTGTGCGTCTCCTTCATCACTGGCAGACAGAATGACTGATCGTCCCTAATATGCTGCTTGTGCGAACAGTAGGCGCTTGCCACATAAAACACCAGCGTGAGATACAAGAACCGACTAGAGCGATATATTTGAGGCGTTCGCGGTGGATTGGCTTTGGTGTTGGAGATCGTGACCGATCCATACGCGACCCACTTCATGACACACATGTTCTCGCCTGAAGTATCTCGCCTCCACGGCCTATGACAACACTATGGATCTGAAGCGCTGCTCTTATGGGTCAAAGGCGACTGGTACCGAGATTGCAGGCCCGGCGACAAGAATAGAACGCCCATTCTATATCCAACACTACTGCGGATCAGGTCTACGTCCCATCACTTCTACACCTGTGCCTCGTCCGAACCAAGAGATGACTGTTGTGTGCCTCGCGTGCACGTGACCTGTCTGTTGTGGTACCTCGCCTCCAATGACTTAACACAGGTAACGCGTCCATTGTGCGTCCATCATTTCTCATTCAACATGCATCCACTCATGCCGTATAATTTCCTCTCTGTTTCCCTAGGCTCGCCTCTCTCCTTCCCCACGCCTTCCTCCATCCATTCCTCGTGCAGCATGAGCCGGTCTCTCTCACTCCTCCTCCTCCTCTTAACAGCGCAGGCCCGCCCACTCCCTCTCCTACCTCGCCTCACTCTCTCCTATGGATTCTGGCACGATCCAGGCTACTCCTCCCCTCCTCCTCAAGCGAGGGCCGTCACCCTCCCAGTCCCTCCCTCGCTTTCCCCTACCCAATCAGGTCAGGCACCACCCACGCTGAGCGTCGGGTTCGACCTCCTCCCCACGTCAGCGACAGAAGGATGGATGTACGGCGTGGACGGCATGCGTGTGGGCGTCGTAACCCCTACCGGTATGACCAGCACAAGCACAACCCCGCATACCACTTCCCACTCCACGTCCAGCTCCCACACCCCTTCGCCAAAGCCTGACCTCTCCCTCTCCTCGAGCTCGATTCCCTCCTCTCCCATCACCACCCATACGCCCAGCTTGACGCACACCATGCCTACGCCCACCTTCTCCTTCTCCGGCATAGTCTTAATCTCTGTCTCTGCTACTACTGTCACAGACTTCGTCACCGTCACCGTCGACGATATCGTCACGAGTTTCGTAACACGCACAGTGGTGCAGACTGCTGTCCCTGTGAGTGTCAGCTCAGGCTCTACCCGGCCGGCGAGTGCGACCTCTGGATCTAGCTCTAGCCACTCGAGCGAGCACGCGTCTTCCAGCTCCAGCTCTTCCCACTCGAGTTCACACTCGGCGTCCTCGAGCTCCCACGCCTCGCCGTCCTCAACATCTCATCTCCCAAGCTCCACCCACTCCTCCACAGCGTCTTCTCATTCCTCCAGCACACATACCACCTCCCACAGCTCGGGACCGAGCACCACTCCTGCTCCTACCGCGACTACCACAGCAACAGGAGATGATGGTGTGTGCGAAGAAGAATGGGAGTGGGTGGAAGATGAGGGCGAACCGGTGCAGTAATCTCCCTACTGGCACTTTTCGGGCTTGCGGGGACTACGCACTCGTTTCGATGGACTTGGGTTGGATGGGTCGCTCTGGGCTGTCGACGTCCAGGCCTCTGCCTCGCGTTCTTTCTTTTCTCGGACTGCTACTCGGACTAGCTCCCTTCGCTCGCTCGCTTTCCCATCCACTCCGTCATTCATCCCGAAACGACAGAGCCGGAACCCCCCAGCCCGAGCACCAAGAAGTGCATGAGTTAGAGCTTCAGTCGGTTGGACACGTATATACTTCGATAGATGTTAGGTACACGATGTAATGTAATACCAAAGAGGGGGAATTTGATTTTCGAACTGTCCTCAGCCTCTATTGCTGCCTGCCTGCCAGTCTCGGGGAAATGACTCGCTCTAGCACCTACGACTGCTAGCTGGCTACGCCAGTAGCGTCCATACCCAGCTGCCCCCATAACTCCTACTCGGACGCTCCGAAGAACCACCGGAGACATACTTCATGCCGCTGGACTTGCTGAATTGTCTCCTTTCTCTGTTCGCACAGGCGAGAAGGCATAGATTACTGGCTGGGCTTTGCGAGCCAAGTTACCTTCATGAGCTATTGTGAGGAAGAGATGTGCTACGTTGACATGAAGGTAAAGCACTGTTCTGCCTGTTCTCGTGCACATTCTATCCTCCGTCACGTACACAAAGATGCCTGTATTGCATTGGTAAGCAGGTCTCTGGTGGTTTGTGTTGCAGAGAGGAGGGCGGACTCAGGTGCTCGGTCAACCATGAGATAGTGAACGACCGATCTTTCTGCCGGAGTGAGAAGTCTGAATTTTGCCGCCTGCCTTAAAAAGGGAGTCTCGCGTATCTTTTACTGTTGTCGAAAGCGAACTGGATGAGCCAAATGTGTGATGACTGCCAGTACATAACCCACGCAATGCCATTGCAAGGGATAGGCACACATTCAAGGGTTAAGGGGACTAGGGAGAGGGAGGAAGATCGCTCATATGCACCGGGTATCATTCCATCAAAACGGGTATACACGGAGTTGACATGGTCGATCTAACTCGATAAGCCTAAGGCGGTGGCTGGTAAAACTTGAGCGTCTGCACGTCATGAGTCCGGGCCGGCGAAACAGGGAAATGAGTGCGCACCACAGGTATCCCGCCCATATCCGTTATCACGCTCTCGATCGCGGTCGCGTATACCAAGGTCTCTCCTTCTGATATAACGACGAACAGGTTCAGTGGGACGACCACTAGGTAGGGTTAGCTGGGCCTGCAGGAGCACACCAGAGGGCATACAGGTATCCTGGTTAACCCAGGAGAGGCTCACATCCCCCACGGAATTGACAGACCACTGTCAGCGCATTTGTGAGCTGCCGATGACAGAAGGGAGGGAGGCTCACAATAGCCGACTCGAAGTAAAAGTCGTTTAGGATGTCAAACTGGCCTGGACCGCCCGGGGCCGCTACTCCTTGTCAGCCGCTTCCATGCTACATCTGGGGCGAACGTACTGTGGGTGTTAAAGTACGACCCTACAGTGAGGTACGACCTATGCCACGTTAGTGGTACTCCCGTGTGAGAGGATGAAGGTTACCCTTCGTAACTAGCGCCTTGGTTAGGATACGTCACCGTCTGCCCTATCAGATCATAGTCTGCAAAGTCTCCCTATCGTAGCCCATGAGCCAGTTCCCTGAAGCAAAGGCAAAAGAAATACAGAAAGGATATTCAAGTCTTGCGATGTAGTAGCTCCCGCCCCAACAGAAGGGGTGAAGATCATTGCCATGCCTGAAGTTGAAGAACAAGTGTTGGATGTCGCTAGCCAGCACGTGGGCAAATCGTCTCCCTGCGCGGTGACGGATATGGATCCTGTCAGAGGAGTACTTGAGGAGGTTAGCCTGCGCCAGATTTAGTTGGAGAGCAGAGGAAGTACACAGAGCGGCGGGCTAGCGGCGGGCCTGGAATAATCGTGGTTCAGAGACAGATCCGCCAGAAGAGAACGGAAAGACACACCAACACGCGTGGCTTCGTATAGCCGCCGAGGAGGTAAGGGACTAAGACCCCTTGCAAATCGATTTGCGTTTGTGTCTCTCCTGTTTCCAGGCTTGCCCCATCCTGCAGCCGACCAGGCTTGAGCAGTTGTTAGTAGCAGAAAAGCGAGTACGATGTTCTTCAAGACAGCCATGCTGAGAGTAACCCTTGTAACTTGGGAGAACAACCATGCTAATATAGTGCTCAATCCCTTTCCACACAATTGGGTATGTTGTTTATCAACAAGTCCGACAGCATGGCTCAGACCTCACTACCGAGTGAGAAGTCATGATGTCTCGCATTGGTTCAGTCCGGCATTGCTGCCGAAATAGGTGCCGCAGTACATTGTCGTGTCCAGCGGTGTAAGGCATTGAGTCACAACGGTTGGCCACAGGCGTGAGTGATATGCACCAAATACCTGTTTCAGAGTCATGTCAAACATGACGCGTCCAGGAGACGCGTCCCTAAGTCGACGCGTCGCGTATCACGTAACTGTGTTTGTTCCATTCCGTGGTATACTCTCTGATCTATCTGATAACTTCGTGAATGCCAACTCGAGCGAACTTTCAGCAGACGAAATAGGGTCATGTGACTTGTAATGTCTGTCACGCGAATCAGCTTGTCTGTAAGGAATTAGGGTGAGACGCACGACTTGGGTGTATCCCTGATTAGCAAGCCAGGTGGGATCACCTGTTGCAAAGAGCTCATATGTTGAGCCAGAACCGGCGACCCAGAATAGCAGTGAGGTAGTGCCTGTGCATGGTATTAACCGCTGTACGCAAATGAAGGAGGTATGTAACTCACTGCTGTCGGAGTTGACTCATGTTGCGCTGATCATGCCTGAGGAGTCCACAGTCCACTACGGGAGAGAAATTAGGGAGGATGACTTCGATGACATGGGAAAAGGCCATGCATGGTAGACTCGTAGTACAATGATGAGGCGGAATCATAACTCGGAGCAGCACCGGCATCGGCTGGTCATTGAATGAGCGAACATAAAATGAAACCAGTAGAGAGACATACTATACAAGCCATTATACGGCGTGAGGAACAAGAATTCGCTGCAGATGCCGTCAACGAAATGCGACGTCAAACCTACGGACGCGGCTCACTTTGTATCAGGACCTTGGTTCGCGGTATCGTACGTGCAAGCTATGAGGCTATCGCCCGAATACGTTCCCTGCAGGTGTCAGCTCCGACTCACGCACGCATTCAGTAGTCGTAAAAACATACGGAGTTAATGTCAAGTTCTTGGGCTGATGGCGATCCGGCCCCAACAGAAGCCGTGAATGGAGCAGCACCGGATGACGGAGCAGTGCAGCTCTGTGAAGCGCCGTTCATCCAACAGATCGGCGTGTTCGATCCCACAGGAGTTATTTGCAGTGATCCAGTCAGAGGAGTGCTATTTCTTCATCAGCTTTGAACACAAGGATTGAGGAAGACGACGGACACAGAACGGCGTGCGAGTGCTGGACCAGTTCGGCTGGGGTCGTATAGTTTCACAGGCTTGAGAGGGGGTAGTCCACGAGCGAAGCGATCCGCATTGGTCTCTCTCCTGTGAGTGTGCTTTTCTGAGGAAAAGGGAGTTGCACAAGCAGAGCTGAAGAAGACCAGAAAAGCAAGCAACGTCAACTTTACAAATCGTGCCATAATGCGACAGTTTCCAAGCCGGATTCAAGGGGAGCAAGGAACTGGAGGGGGCAGATGCTTCGAGCAATACAAATTTCAGGTCGTGCATTGTTTGTAAACATACTTGCGACCAACACCATCTCACTTGTTGCACGGGGAATTGAACAAAGATATATGAACGTTGATCCGGGGCCTGTTATGGCTGGAGATGCTCGGCATGAACGGCAACATTGCCCCTGAACCATATTAGCGGAACATTGCCATGCCGATTGGAGTAAAGCGAGGCAGCAATATGAGAGATTCCGGTATGCAGTCAGGTTCGAAATTCAGTGGACGAGCGTGTGGTGGACGTGTGTGAGGAGGACCATCAATTAGCTTTCATGAAAAGAGGCTGTGTTCTGTCTGACGTAAATTCCGTTGTCACGGGAAACGCAAATAGAAGCGCCAACAGAAGCAAGCACACGTCAAGTTTCTCAATAGCTTTCTCTCCAGTGTTGTTATCAGAGCGCGGTAAACACATCCATCCCCAGACATGGATGATAATCTGTTAGTCAAAAGTCAAAGGGGTGATGGATAGAGCAAAAGGTTCAGTCGAAACCAGTGACGGTCGGAGCATACGTGGTCAGTGCTATCCAGCTCAAATAGAGAACATTACAGGTCATTGGGCAAGTTCTCATAAATACTGACATTTGTTGCACAGGTTATTTGTGCCATACCCCTGCAATGAACAACCCCAGATTTCCGTCCATGGTTCGATAGACGCCGCCAGGCCTTTCACCCCGCGTCTATTATCTGTCCCCAGATGAAGAACATCATGCCGTTCACATCGTCTCCCCTCTTTTCTCTCCATCCTCACGATATGGCTACTACTCAACAACCAGGTTCTCTGAACACATCGAGTGCAGTGTACATTTGTGCAGGTGCGCCGTCTACCCATGATTCGACCAGTGACCCTGACACTCGTGAAGGAGCTATCGTCGAAGGTCTTCCACATCGCGGCTTCCTCAAGTCTGAGGGCAGATATTCGCTCAAGCTTCTCATAGGGGGCTCCGAGCTCTGGAGAAGCAGACAGATAACGACGAAGGGGAGCAGAGCGGTTTGGGATGGCGAACAAGATATGGGTATATGTTGATCTGAGCAGGTTTGTACATGGGGAGCGGTGGGGGGAGTGTAGGGGTGTGCTAGGGCGGGAGTAGGTCAGGGGAGTTGGTCTAGGTGTAAGTGGGCGTCGGTTGGCGATATGTGGACTCTTCTGTCATCCGTGTAGTTTAAGGATTAATTTACGAACGCGCTGTTCGCACGCTCAGTAGATTAGGAGAAGAATGTATTTCCCCCTGTTTTGCCATATGTGCAAGGCGAGGTAAGGCCGTCTCATACACCCGCAAATCTCCATCATTAGCCTACTCGGCGCCCAACCTCCTCCCCTGACCCCAATTATGTCCCGTCACCGTAGCCCTCACCTCCTCCCTTTCCCTCCTCTGCGGTCCTCCAGCTCCTGCCCCACCCGCCCTTCCAGGGTTAACGACCCCACTCCCCCCAGCTGTCACCCCCACTCTCAGCCCACTACCTACGAACCGTTTCACCCATTCTGGCGCTCCCGGCGCCTGCCGTCTCTCTAACAACAAGCTCCAACCCAAACCGACGATCACCCCTGTAAGCCCCCGTCCCGCTTCCAACGGTCCAGAGAGGACGGCGTCCATACCCAGCATAGCGTAGGGCAGGTATTTCAGGGGGAGGGAAAGGAAGCCCATGAGGTTTATGGGTTGTTCGGGGTTGAGACGGGATGAGAGTGTGACGAGGGAAAGGAGGAGGGTGTGAGAGTGGAGGTAGGAACGGAGGGGGAGGTTGATGATCTGCGTTTTAGCACCGTCTGGGGTTAGTAGGGGCAATGGGAGGGTAAAAGGGGGCGTACGAGGATTGCGAGAGAGGAAAGGAGGAGATGGTAGGCGTAGTCGTACGACCTCCCACTGTAGATGCCTTCTTCCAGCGCTACGGAGTTACGGCTTCTTACTGTCAGGCACAGGTACATGAATGTGAGAGGGCGAGCGTACTATAGTGTTAGGAGATCGAATAGGAAGGTAATCCCCGATCCGCCATACAAGAAGGATGTTGGTACTCTCCATACTTCCCCTTGCATTACCCTGTCCGGTAAGAAGAGGAGAACATAAGGGCTGAGAAGGCGTAGTAGGGAAGGGAGTGTTACGCCGAGGGTGGAGAGGATGATGGTGCGTGTTACAGGCGGTATCTTGAGTAACTCTTGATTGACTTGAGCGAAGAGGGACATTGTGTGCGTGAGAGTGAGTGTGTGTGATGCAGGTCAGACACTTGTGTCAGGGAAGGATGACGTGGGCGGGGTTACGCTTATCGCCGACACGCTGCAAATAGTACAGGGTTGTCTGTTTTATGCTACTTCAGGCCATATGTTCAGCGTTTGTCTGGCCATAACCCTCTTCCAAGAGTTCCCTCTGAACAGTCTCCCATTACTGTCCGCCCCACTTCTCCAGCTCCTTGGGGGTCATCACCTCCAAGTTGTTCACGCGCCACCAATTGCCCTCACGAGCTGCAGTCGACGTGAATGTGGTATAGTTTGCGAGCCAGAGTCGCGTGTTGCCCGGATACGGCGCTGCGAGTGCGAGTCAAATTGCGCGCATCTCGACACCTACCCAATACGCCTTAAACAGAGCCGGATTGATCCGGTGCAGTGTCACCCGGAAATACGCGCGCAACTCTGCCCTCTCCTTGTTCTCATGTATGCCGTCATACCTTTGTGCACTCGAAGGGCGGGGTGATATTTTGCCGTGGGTGGCTGCTGCGTCAATCACATGTTGAAATGTCTGAGGTTCTCTGACCATACCAACTATGGTGGAACATTAATGCGGCGAAGCATGCACCATGGTCAAATGAGTTGCTGCTGCCAGCAAGGCATTGTCCTCCACTATGACAAGTGTCTCCCCACTGGCAGCTTTCTACTCAATAGTCATCTTTCTACTCGACAGTCGTCTTCGAACCACGATGACCCATCATTGCTCCGGTACCGGAAACCGCACATGCAACGGGACGACAGATACTTGCAACGACCACAACTGGCCATGCACGGGTGGTCGAGACGGAGTAC